CCAAGGCACTTCCCTCTTCATGATTTCATTTTCGTTTAAATCTGGTTTTTTGCTTCCACAGTGCATTGTTGCTAAAAATGTCTGGCCAATGAATCTGAAGTTTTTTTCATGAATAACTGTTAATAAACACCTGTATCTTCTGGATGATGGCTTTCGTAGTTACATAGGTTTTTGCTTCATATAGTAGAATTGCTTTGACATTTTTATTGAAAATTATAACTGAATCAATGCCACAATCTTCATCACTAAGTGCTGTTCAGATACGTTAATGAAAGTGCTTAACCAAAATAACTCATTATCAAATTTGGTACTAGAATGGTTACTATGACATTTGAAAAGTAAATAAATAATTCTAACAAAGGTCTGTGAATAGTAATAGTAATATATTCAAGTAAGAATATAGCAATTCAATCTTATTGTTATTAAATTTTACAACGAAAAAATGATGAATTCATACGAAATAGCTATGAGTAGTGACATTTGTTAGTAGCAGTTGGGAGATGGCAAATTCGAGTTCATATTTGTGTGATGAATTTCGATATTTAGTCAAGATGTAATGCATTGATTTATAATTATTTATTTGAACACATAAATATTGTTGCGGAGAAGCAACAAATACATATGGGCCATATAAGACAATTGATTAATATGTCAACTGTGATACTAACTGAGTGCTCAGACCGAAGCGGGTGGTTTTCTTGAGAGGCCACACACGGAGTCTTCGACCTAAAGGTCCGATCCACAAGGCGATGAAGCTGCGTATCGTATTGAAAGCAATCAAACAAATATGAAAATATAAACTTCTGAAATGGCTTTATTAGACAGAAAAGTATAATAAAATATGAGGATGATAACAACAATAAACAATGAAAATGGGAATCGGCAATGAAATTCTATCAACAGGATGATTTGTTTAAGATTAATTTCATTTCAGTGGCTACGTCTGCAATTGTCTGGTCGATAGACGCGGAATGAGAATCATCATTGTCCTCAAGACAACTGATCATGAAGAAATTGTTTCGATGTCGACCACAAAAACTAATCATTCTGTTAAGGAACGAAATATGTTTCCATCATTATTGGTTTGATGGTGCTATACCTGACGTGGTTACTCTGTAGAAACCTCGTTCAAATATTGAGAACATCGAAGCGACAAGATCTCTTTCCTAGTTCATATCACTCATTCACTCACAATGAAATTAAAGTCAAGTGAGTTTGCTCTTACAATTCGATAATTCTTGCTCAATATCTATTATTCTTTGTTGCTTTTCATTATTCTTTCCTGGACATTTGAGAAGACTTTGCTGTAATGCGGAGAATGCTGAAGGCGGTCAGCAAGGTGTGTGTTGAATCTTTCACGGTAATTATTATGGCTGTGGATAGACATTTAATTTCATGCAAACTCCCGGCAGGTGTTATTTTATCAGATTCTCAACGTCTTATTCATACGTGTCTTTCTCCTTGTAAATCATCTGGTAGAACGAGACGCAATTACATTAAAATTTGTGCACGCAGGAAAAAGTTTAAAAACTCTTAAATGCCTTACATAGCAAGTAAATTCTGTGATGAACAGGTTGCTAGAATTAATCTGGCCAATAACCTATATTTTCAACATGTCTCTAAACTGAAATGTTGTACATTTATTTTTCAGATTTTTTGATCTTCGTTTCTGTATTGTTGTGTAAGAAACTTGTTGAAATACTCTGTGCTGAGAATTTTACAGTGCATCAGAATATAATATTGAATTAAGCCATTATTATTAATAATAACTAAGCAATGCTAAAGAAGAAATTTTTCAGAATCAGAATCTAATCAGATATACACATATCAATTCACACATCACTTTTCATTGAAAATTTTTGCACGTAATAGACGCAGAATTTCCAGCAATTCTACTTGATCTCGCTTATTGATCGGCGGACACTGTTGTTCTCAAAGCGATGAGCAGTGTTAATAAATCTCTGCTAGATGCTATCTAACTGGTAACAAAAATAGGTAAAGCCTATACCCATCTCTTTCGAATCTATGAGAACTGAGTAATCGGTGACATATACAAAATGTATAACTCACTCAGACATGTTAAATTGAAGAATCACTCTTTAACCGTAAAGTTGAAATCCATGAACCCGAACAACTTATTTGTAAAATATGTCACATTGAAAATTATTCCTGCCACATTTGACTTATAAACAAATCTACTTTTATGACTTCGATCTATTTCAAAATTACGGGTCTGACACTTAGTGATGTTGTCATGTTCAGCGTCTAAAAAATGACTTCTTTCCATATGAGACACTGAGGCATCATGCAATATGGGGAAAGGGAATATCATGGCTTTTGTATTGCAAAAGCATTCCACAGGCGGTTGTCAGTACCGGCTTGCTTCAATCTTAAGTCTACGCTTCCCCTCTATGTTTCACAAAGTTAATTGTGTACTTGTTTGATTTAACAGATCATTGTGTCGAATGATGTCAAAAATTATACAAGTGTGTTCGTGAAATTTTTTGACGTTTACAGTCGGAGGCATCATTATGGCTAGCAAAATGCTTTGAGAAGAATAAATATAATTCAAATGTCGACGTTTGACATGCTCATATCTGACTGGTGATCACTCAACATTTGACATAAAAATCGACAACAAATTATTTCAAAATTATGACGAGACTTTAGTTTCTGTACGAGCAAATCAGGAGCGTTTGATGGTTTTCAAGGTCACGGTGCCTACTTCAGTGCCTTATGCTGTAGCGTTAATAAAAATCAATTATATGTGAAGTTACTGATGTGAGTTTGCTTTTTTCTTATTGCAGGGCAGCAAAGAGTAAACTTACTGGACGGATACAAACAAGCCCTAAGCAATCTGAACCTGCAGAACAATGAATAAATCCATTTTTTTGTACGTTCGCCTATTTGTATTTGAGCTGCATCTTCGGATTTTTAAATATAAATCTGTTGTACCAGTACGCCGTTCTATTACTTCAGTGGCATTTAACGGTCCTAACTGTTGTGTTGTATTTCAGGTCGCTCCTGCTCCCAAGTAAACGATAATGGTGCGTGCTCCAATGATAACGTACGATCGTTCCACGGGACATTCTGTACAAGACGTGATAATTGAGCAACTTTAACATATGATATGGCGAGACTGTGATTTGTGGACAAATTATATGACAACAGATTTCGGATTTTGGTGCGATAACCCTCCATTTATTTTGCAAAATAGATTTTATTATGGCTTATGTCAGTTCATGATGAAAACCCAGCATGTAATTCCTAGTTATGTGAAATTATGAAAGCGATTGCCAATTGGATAATAAAAGCAAAAGTAACGCTGGCTACAGCAGTATGGTACAATATATGGGGATGATTGGAGAGCGTACATTTTCCTACATAGACGTGGTTATGTATATCGTGTCGTTATTCACAACTAGAATTTTGTGTACTAAACAACTAGAGTAGTCGCAATAAATGTTCAAGCTGCGTGATAGAGGCTCAAAGAGTTTTTGAAACTTTATCATGGCCCTAGATTTCGACTATTCTGTAGCCATATGAATGATTGCCCCTACTTCATGCATTACGATTTTTAGGTCTCTGAACCCTTTTTTTAACACTGACAAGCTTTTGAACCATGTATAAGAATGGTACCCGCTTTAGTTCTTTGGTTTTGTAATCTAGAAATAATATATATAACGCATTATTGAAACTCCACTGGGTTTTGAATTCACTGACATTGACTGTTGGAACTTTATAATTTAGTTTTGTGATATGTCATACCAAAATTACTTGTCTTCATTTAAGTTTAGTACGTTTTTGAATCTATGGAGAAAAGCAATTTCTGTAGTTTATTTCTACTTGTAATGTTATGAATATTCCTCTTAATAACATTTAAGGATTTCGATAAGCAAATCATTGTGCTTCTAAACATTATGACTGGTACTATGGCCAGCGATAAAATATTTTTTATCCAAAATACACTTACCATTGCAATGATGACACATTTAGATATATTAAATTCTTATTATCAATCAGAAACCGTACTCACGTTGCTGGATTCTGTCAACAATTTACGGAAAATCGAAGTTACGTTTCAGTTTAATTACTTGATTTTCACAGTGCTTTCGGTGCACGGAATGCCAACGTCCTTATTGAGCAGGACATACAGTGAAATTAACTATTAACAGCAGCCAAGCCAGCTGGTAGTCAGATCAATTAGCGGTCACCGAATATATTGATATTGATACAAGTTGTCAAACGGAAGAGTTATGAGAGTGAGGTCAGATTGAAACTGTAGACAATGAAATATTACTGTCAACGAAAAACAATTAGTGTGGAGTTCGAAAGGCACTATGTATTACCGAAAAGCGAATACGTTTTCGTTCCCTACTTATTGCTGAATTCACGGCTCTTAGTGTTGTCGAGAGTACCAGCACAAACGTTATCAGACCAACAAAATCAACCTGATATGATAAGAAAATTTGAAATTCCTTTGATTTAATAATTATGAGCTTTTTCAACATCAATTCCTTTCTGATTCAATATGATGGTCATTCAGTGTAGTATTTGTTCTGCATTATCGTATGATATTTCATTTTGCATAATGTACGATAATCTTGTATTCAATGGACATGAACTATACTTAGTGATTCGTTATAATTGGGTATTTTTTACACATATGATTTTATCCTAAGTAATAATAAAACTGTGTTCGATCAATAAATGAGTATATTTTCGACTACAGTTGTCGACACTGTCTGAACTAGCATAACTTTCAATGGTCTTCTGTCTTTGCATTTCAACTTGGTAGAGAGGTAGCGTTCTGGTGCTCAAGTTATATGAGGTGTCTTAGTCGCGACACAAGTATATTTTTGAATAGACAATCGTTCAACAAATCATTGAAGTCAATTTGGTTTGTTTGAATTTTAAATACAAACGGAATGTGTTTCATTGGTTATTTGCATTTCAGAAGAATATTCACAACACCAAAATATAATCGAACAGGCAAACGTCTAATAAACAGAACATCTATTATAAATAACAAAGTAGTTTACAAAAATCTGCAAGATATTTCACGTGAATACCTGTAAAACAATCAAAACATCCAGTGGAATAGCAGCTATTCATCATGTCTAATCATTATCTCTTTCAGTTGTTGTTTGAGCTCAAATACGTTGTTCACATTGGTCCAATTACAATGCATTAGTGAATTTACAAAAAACTCTGAAGTGATGTTAAGCGCGAAATATTCATAAAACAATAGGAATATGTTGTACATTTTAGAAAACTGTTTGCGTTGCAGATAATCTGTTGTGAATATAATCGCCTGCAATTAAAAAAACGTTGATGATTACATTGATGCATTCATATCATTATGTGTATCAGTGAAATAATAAGTCTTTACAGGTTTAGGGTTATTAACCTAGTGATTGCTCAGTACTCACACATAACAAATAAACAATATGTGCCCTGTAATTTGATCTGTTAATTATTGAGAGATGAACGTTTGTGTAAATTGAGAATCATACAAATTGAGACATGGAACCAATCAACGTCTACCCTGCAGCCATCAAGCTACACATCTCGTAATAATTTCTTCCAAATATTTCATGATGAATTCCAGTGAATGCTGTGTTCAGAAGACACTAATGAATCAAAGTTCTAAATTTTGTAGGACGCTATAATTGGATGAATGTTAATCAATGGACGGTTTGTATTAACATTTATATATTTATTGAGAACTTACAACAAACGTTGCGCAGCCCCAACAAACCCAGGCATCACCTTGTAAAACATTCTGAAGTAAAAAAAAGAAAATGCTTCAACTCAATTTATCATGAATCGACATAAGTATTAGTTAAGAAACAGTATTTCTCAACTAGTTTACTCTACCGATTTCAAACAAATATGTACCACTTCATGTACGCTTTCATCACTGTGTTTTCTGAATTTCTATATCATTTACATGTCCTGTCTCATGCTTGACATTTGTCTAGACAATGAACAAGTTTATTCAAGGACTGTATGATTAAACATTCGATCTACCGATTCCACGAATGTGAAATCGTTGTTTGTAGATGTGTTTTTCCGATTTTGCTTTATTTATCATTTTGTAACATTATCATAATATATATACACAGTAATGAGAATCAATTTTTCAAATGATAACTTTATATGATGAAGCTTTGTGCCAACAACATACAGTGTAAACTCCACAACAAGAAAACTTATGCTATTCAAGAAAACCATTTGCAAATCAATAATAATCAATAATCACTACCATTTTGTGGAAAGCCATGATAAGATCAACTTACGTCATAGAATATCATCCCGATAACAAAGAGAATGAATCCGATTCCTGTAGATAAACAAAATGTCAAGAACAAGATCGTGATGAATTTCGTTTCTAAATCTTTTAGCCTTATTCCCATAAAAATTGCTAAGATGGTCAATCCGGTAGCCGCAGGTAGAGAAATTAATATTTCATACACTTCTGCACATGAAATTAGTAATGCTAAACCAACAATCATAATTATCATCTGAAAAAGAAAACGTTTTAAATTACGGCTAGTTCAGAAGTTCAACCAGTCAACAACTTGACAAATAGTGATAGAATTATCTTCACTCTCCTGCATTGCATTGAAATGCTTTAAATGAATATAATAGATATCAACACGTACCAAGAAGTCCGTAACCAATTCAATCATAATGACATCGCTCATCCTGAACAAATGACCACGTTGTAAGAGATTTATCACCTGAAAGGTGTGAAATATACCAAGTCGGCTAAACGAACAATTACGACAGCTAGCAATGTCTGCGAATCGAAGCACTAACTGATGACTTGTGTATCATAGAACACAAGTTCAGTGATATAAAAAATGTGTGGACGATTGTACAAATTAAATTGACATTAAACTAATTTGTTTAGTTATTCTGTGTTTTCAAATCTTACAAATGGTCATGAGAACAAACGCAGATCAGAGAAAAATGTACCGGTATTATGTGCATCCACGTCCAAGTCAACGTTCAAGGATTTCTTTTTTCTTGATATCCGTTATCATACTAACATGACAACATTTTTACTAATCAACAAATAAAGATAAACTAAAATCAATCGATAGTTTGATGAAACTATCATGATAGTAATTTTGAAACCACATAAAACTGACTGTTATAACGATGAAAAAACTTTTCTTCACAGATGCAAAATGCAGTTTTCTAATGACTATTATTATTATTCCAAGAATCAATCCGATACATCTGAAAAACAAAGGAAAGAAATGTACAGCATACTAAAATCACAGATACATTAGTTCAAAGTAATGTGCATCAATGTTCCGCATAATCTCTATACATAAAAAAGCTTGAACAAATTCCTTAACTTCCCAGCTAAGTAATCTGTAAGGTTTGTAAAACTAGTCAAAATAATGGATGAGTAAAATTATTATTGAGTGGTCATCTTAAATATCTAATTTCATCCCCGAAATGCTGTTGTTCGGACAAGGTTAAGGCGAATGCGCTCTACTTCTCGAAATGCTATCACATGGACAAGAGTATACAGTCACTGACAGAAACGTACTACTCATTTCCTTCTCGTGTCGAGAGATTTGTTTAGAAAATGAAGATGACAAAGAGCGAATATCCGTCACTTCATTCGGGTCAGTGTGCACGGAAAGTCGACATAGGTGTGTTTGAAAATTCGGTACACATAGGTTACAGGATTTTGGAAGAAAAACTGGCGTATGAATCCATTATCGGTACCTGGCTTCTCCTAATAGTGCTACACTGCCTTGTCGATCAAACGTTTATTTCGATGTCTCCGGGTGTAAAACTTTGAGGAAACCACATGTTTCGGTCTGGATGCCCGAAACATATCACAGTTCACACACAAATCCGACGCTCCATTAACCAATGTTCGTGTGTTGAAATAAATATATTAATTCACTTCAGTATGATCATTTGCCATGATGTGAATCAACATTTATTGGAAACATATATTACTTACGTTATTATGAGACCACCGAGAACAAATGGATCGTCAAATCTTCGAACGCGTTCATAGCTGAATCTGTTAAATGGAACGATTAATGTCTTACATGCAATGAAATGTCCTTTTTTTCGTTTCGCTTAGATGATCTTCAGTTGCGAATGTCAACATTTTGGAAGTAGCTTCGAAGAAGATAGTTGAACAATTTATTTTTAGAAATTCCCGCTCCACTATCACTAATTCCAATTTAAACTGAAATAAGCGAGAATTCACCATACAGTTATGGAGATATTTAATTTCGTGGATTACATAAACACTAAACTTTTCATTCGCATTCATTGACAGAATCAGAATTTCGTCTGACTAGTTTGCCGTATCATCATTACTAGATGAATAACGAAGATTGAATGCCAATGAAAAATGATGTCATTAGATTTTACCTAAGCTGGACACAGCATACGGTGCTTTAAAGTCATCAACGTGTATGAACTCACTATGGTCAAGATAATTACCACTGACAAATTTATTCACTGCAATAAATAGTATTTAATATAAGTTTGTTGTTTCTGACGTTATGCAAACAAAACATGATCGACCTCCCACTTTTTTTAGTATTCTGATGATCTCATTGTGTGCATCAGGAATGACAATTTCTGTCTTTTCATAGTCTTTTGAAATGAATGAGATTTTTTATCACATCAAACGATGCTCTGTTTTTAATGGTCCTGTACCTAGTTCTATTAAGTATAAAATTACAAACTTTAGCTTGAAACACGTACAACACTCAAACACTACGGTGTAATTCCATGAAGGTCTTACTGTTGGAGATTGCGTGATGAAAATGATATCAAGTATCACATATCGTGGTTAAGGATCCTTCTTTAAGTTTTCTACATCTCCTGTGCTATTGAAATGAAAGTAAATTTTCCATCCGACCTTTTATGCAAATAAATTTCTGCATTGTTGAACATTTACATTTATGATTTGTTGATTTTTTGTATATAACCTGCTACTTCATAACGTTCTCCATATTTCTTCTCAATGATTTTCAGGAAAAATTATGTGGTATTTTGGAGAATGCTGAAGGCGGTGAATCTTTTGACATCGTTACAAATATGGTTGTTGATAGACATCCAAACTCATGCTTAATTCACACTATTCGATAGAAATTAACAACTCACGTGGAACGATTGTGATGTTCACAGTAAAATAATTTAACACAAATTTATAAAGAAATTCACAAATTACTTTGAACCAACTTTGTTAACTCATGGTTATTTATTAATTTCATTGAACTTTGTTTAAGCTGTCTTTGTATTGAACAATAGGATAAGTGATTCTATTAGAAATAAAATTAACTGATTTAACTCATAGTTCATGGTGATTGAATACTTGATAGCACATCAAAATGACAAAAGAGATTGATCTTGTTGCTCCAATAAGCTCAGAAGATAAATGAAGTCTCTGCAGAGTATTAACGTCATATGGAACACACAGTGTTAGCTTGTTCACTCCGTTGGTTATATACACATATCGCTTCTCATGTGTTAGGAATTTGGATATAGATACATCATTAAAAACCAATCAAAAAAGAAAACTATTTCTCCTCCTGTGATAAATGTCGAACTTATATACCATTGCCGAATCATCAAGAATTACTCGTATGAACAATACAATTTTGGATGAGTTAATGAACGTCGATCAAAACCATCATGTTATTCTATAAATTATTATAACTCTGAGTTTATGGTCGCTGGTGTTCAGGATATGTCAATCTCAGTTAATCATTTTATTCTCATCATCTACTCTGTAAACCTTTATAAATATACAATGTTTTTTAACCTTCATGACTTGTCGTGTTCTCATCAATGAACAGTGAAATATTTGACAGAACTACACAGATGCAGTTGTTATTTCAAAAGAGCGAGTGACTAAATGCAATAATGACTTCCTCAGTAACTTGCAAACATCAATTGTTGTAAGCACGCCACTGCAAACACCGTCTTATGCGTATTTGATACGATGATTATCGCCTGAGTAAGTTAATCAACTACAATTTAGAACCACTCACATATATGTATCGGTCCAAGTTGCCATACGTTATAAGCACAACAAGATAAAAATAAGATTTATAGAACCAGTTGATTCAATGATGGTTATATATAAAAGAAAGATTGTCTATTACGATATAGTTTAAGAAGAAATAATTCGTACGTAGTAAAAAAGTATAAACTCACTTTAATTCCACGATTTAAGGAAAACAAATGGTGAATACACTCCTAATGACCACGTTTTACAGTTAGAAAAAAAAACAGAACAAACTGCCTTGCTGTATTCTCGTCGCTTGGTTGGTAGACGGAAATCACGCCATCCCCACAAGTCATGTATGTTGAGAAAGGCCGAACGAGCTTTTCGAACCCGTGCTGAGATTTCGTCATACTCCAACTCATTTGGGCTGATCGGAATTCCAAGGTAAGTGTCATTTCTGTCAAAATAATTCATAATTTATATGTGTGTAAATTTGTGTGTATTTAATATATAAAAGAAAGAATCCATTTAAGCATATAGTGCAAGAAGAAATAATTAGTACAAATATAGTGAAGTATTAAGCCTTTATTTAAAACAGAACGAACTGCCACTCAGTTTACTCGTTTTGTTTTTGAGAAACAGATATCTCGCATTCGCCATAGGTGACGTAGGTTTGCAATAGTCTAACGAGCTTTTTTGATCCGTGCTGAGATTTCGTCAGACACCAAATCGATTTAACCGATCAGAATTTCGCGGTAAGTAAAGTTGTACCACACTCTCTAACCATTATTCAGGTGAAGACACAGGCCAGTCCTGAAGCAACAACTTGCATATAGGCGGGAAGAAGCATATTTCGCACATCCCGGCATTGTTGCTTGGTGATCTTCCCTAAATATGAGTACATTATCTACGAATTCTTAGTCCATAGGTGGTCCTCCATGTAGGAGGTCAATGTCCGAAAATTCAATCGACGAGAATGTTATTTCCAGTAGTAGGTCTATGACGAAGTTAGACACAAATGGAGAAAGTAAACAGTCTTGACGGACACAACTTGACGTTGCAAAAGCAAATGATTCGATATGTAATTTTCAACTTAAAAACCGTTACCAGATTCATTTCCTCCTAAGGTTCGCCTTTCAATGACAGACACTACCACAGAATCTCGCGGTCTACAGAGTCAAATGTTGCTTTAAAAGCAAGGCCAATGTTATCTTATGCTGATGGACAAGACTGTGTTCTGAGATCTGGGGATGTAACCATGACTAGATCGGAAAACAGCCCCTTATTTTCATGTTCTCACTTCAAAGATCTCCCTTAGGCATCCGATACTTATTGAGGTTAGTATTTTAGGTGCTATGTCAGTCAATTCAAACCCAATACGGTTATCATAGTCTGATTTTTACATCTACAAATATATTGCGACAAAACGCATACTGTTGGATGAGATTACATACGACTCACAGATTAACGTGAAGATGTTAGTTAACCTAATCGCTTTAACTAGGCTATCACTTTTGAAGTCCTCTTTACTAAATCCATCCGGACCACCTGCTGTGTCTTGTTTCACATAAGCTATAGCCTTTTGAACTTCAACTAGAGTCGGAGAATATACTTCAATGTTCCATTTAGACATTCTGGGAATGGTTGACAGTTGTAGAGCACAACCGTTAGCTGACACAATCGCCTATGAATCCTAACCTGGTAACTAATAGAGTTGATCACGTAGTTTCTTGACAGGTTAGCTCATCAAGTGTTAGTTGTTTGTTCTATGTGATGTTCGAAAATAACTTTTTGCTGTTATTTAAAAAACACTATGACACATGTGATGTAAATCTTCTGAATGATTCACCGAAAGTGATTTTCTTTCTGATCGCGAAGACAAAATTATTTGCAAAAGTCATGCATTGATACATAAAACAATCCGTCTGTAGAGTTGCAGCTGTTCTGTGAAAATTTATTCACTGTTAAGTAGTTGGTCGTTCCCATTAGCAATGCCTGCTTAGCGTGTTTTAGAAACCAAGTGCCAACTAGCTACCTACACAGATAGATCATCAGAATGACATGCATTTTACTATTAAGTAAATAATGAATTTGATTTGCATTGCCAATAGAACCGGTTTAAGTCATCGAAATCATGAAACACGGGTAATATGATCTTAGATCAATTCTGTGTGCTCAAATTGCTAATTTTAATGTGAAGTTTTCTTCATTTGTTCCTCATATTTGTAAATCCATGCTTAATTTACACTACTTAAGTGGGTTTTATATTGTCACTAAAGATTAAGTTAATTTTTTTGTGTGGTAAACTGGATCGAAATTCTATTCTATCGAATATTCAATTGAAATCTCAGTATAAAATGAGACCAACGAAATAGCTTAGAATAATTATGGTGTGCGACATCAACCATAAGTTTATCTTATTCATTCTAATGTTCACATTTGTTTTAAAAACAAGTCTAGTTTAAAATAGCTTTGATATTACTCTGATACATCAGATTTTATTTAATTAACACTAGTTCAAATGAAAAATAGAGAAATATATACATGAGTAAATATTGGTTTTTCGAACTGATCAGTCCAGTAACAAATTGTATATTCCAGTGAACGGCAACGTAAACAATTTCATACATAATGAATTGATACAAACGTGTAATGAACAGCAATCACACGATAACCTCATTTCGAGAAACAAGCAAAATTTGTCTTGAAGCTAACTTCTTATATGCCAAACATGTACTTTCTTTGCATTAATTTAAATCTGAACTTCAATTTAACAAGCTCTCAGATGTTTCCGTAATCCACGATAGTTTCAAGAAACATATATCACAAATAACATCACAAGTTCTAGTTGTAAAGGAAGTATGTATACCAAGATAATGTCGATTTTCAAGTCACTATTCAATTATTGTCACTGTTAATCAAACTTCTTGGACTTTGTTTGAATGAATGGTTTTGGTAAATCTTCAATCTAATGTAATAAACTTGAGTGTCAAAAATTCGTTTTAAAATTTTTCGAATACATGATTCATTAAAGAACACTCTCAAGGAAGTTGTGCATTTTCGGATAACGCATATCAAAACAGCATATACAGACCTTCCTATAGATATCACCTAGCACTCGGTTTAAAAAATTGCCATAACTGTCAGGGAAATCAAAACAGGGAATGTAGTGGGAGCAGATATTATACTACCTGAAGCATTGAATTCACACACAGACGTGTCTGCAAACTTCCTCCATGTTGTATTCGGGAAGATTTGGATGAGACACAAGTACTTATGAACTGGAAAGAAGGATTTCTCATCAAGATATGAAAAAAAACATTGAAAAATGTGAGAACTGAGCTATAGAGTCATCAAAACACTTTCAGTGCCAGGAAATACTTTCAACACTGCTGTTTAGCCGCGTAGCGGATTGCGTATATTCCCAGTGGTGAGATCAAACGTCTGGATTCTATAAGAATCGATCATGATCGAACCGAATCAGGAAAATGCAGACCATTATTGAGCCATCACTGAAAATTTACTCTAGACAATGTATCGGCTTCCTTCTCTATGAGAAAGAGTTTGGCATTATGCATTGAAGAGGCTAAATAAATTGTCTTCTACGCCATAATATAACTGAGAAAATCGTCAAGGTCATGCAAGGTTCATGAGATTGAAACAAATACATTTATATTTAAAGAGGAAACTGAGTAATGGTTTTAAAGGTGGTAGGAACATATGTTGGCGTAATATCCAAAGTCCATCACAATGCAATCCTTGCCCTCGAATCCTGGAGGTAGATATAAGAAAAATGAATGGTGTATGAAAACTATTGAAATGAGAACCCATTACAGAGTATAAAAACATATCCTTGTTTAGAGAATCCCATGCAACTGTGAGTGATGTGATCGGAGAGAAAAAGCTGTGCACAAACAAGATGAACAAAAAGTGGTAACAACCTATGACTTAACGATTTTAGACCGTTCACACAGTTGCTCTGATTATTAATCCATTAGAACCATGGTCGACATCTCGAAAATATTGTGTCAGTTCACTTCATTGGATCATCAGATTATGGTCATTCTCAGTCATATGACTAACTGTGATGCAACCCTGATAAAACGAAAGAATTAGAAAGTTTATAACTAAAAGCATTTATCATGTTAACGCATTTACATCTTTCATTATTGT